TATAAGGTCCCTCAGTATTATCAGCAGTTTACGCATTGCTCAATAGCTAATTATACTCCTCCATCCCCAACTCCTCCTCTGTCAGTCAGGATTCAGGCTTCTGATTCTCCTTTGAATCAGACTAATTCTAAAATGTGTACATAACATTATTGAACTTTAACGATATCTGCAATGCATTTGTTGGTTCTGTTCTGTTTACCCTGGGGGGGAGGGTATCGCTGCTCTCCCTGCTCTCATCCAGGCTAGGCTGCATAGATGCGCAGGGAGTTCTTGCCCAGAACAGAACCATACCGCCAATCCAAACTGTATGCTAACTGTCAATCATCTTTGACGATAGTGGTCCTGACAGAAACATTTAATTCATTTCATTATATTAAAAAAAAATATATATATATTTTGATTTTAAGGGTAAATATTGCCTATACATGTTCTCAGGTTTTGTGAGACTCACAGCAGGCTTACAGAGCTTTAGAGTGGGTGACTTCATAAACAGCAATGCTATTCTAACTAGCAGGGGATAAAGAAAGCACAGCTGTAATTGTAATAGCTGAACCACCGAGACACACGACCTCCTCTGCACTGATGCTGCAGGCAAACACAACTGTCTGATTACAGGATCACCTCTCTTTCTCTCTTCCTCAGAGGAACGCAAGAGGGATATTGTACTGCGTGACTATCAGATGGAGGTGGCGAGACCAGCTCTGGAGGAAAAGAACATCATCATCTGCCTCCCTACAGGAAGTGGGAAAACCAGAGTTGCTGTGTATATCACTAAGGAACATTTGGAGAGGAGGAAGCAGATGGGACAACCGGGGAAAGTTGTTGTTTTGGTCAACAAGGTGCTGCGCGGCCATTCATTTACTACAAATATAACAAATTCATCTCTAACATATAATAGTGTCTATATTATAAACAGTAAAATATCGTAAGTAACAAAAATGTAAACTATAGTATTATTATTTTTTGTTAAATTATTTAAGAATTTAAATATTTGTATTTATTTATTTAGTTAAACCCCAAAAATGTCTCATCAAATACTTAAAGGATCAAATGATCTTGGTATCAAACAATCAATTATTTGTTTGTTTGTTCAAATATTTATCTCATTTATTTCATTAAAACTCAAACATTTATCATCAAATTCTTACAAGACCAAATGACATTGGTATCAATAAATTCTTTATTTAAATATTTTTATTTATTTCAATTGATATTTATACTTAATTATTTTATTTATTTTATTAAAACTCAAACATTTCTCTTCAAATTCTTACAAGGCAGAATAATCTTGTTATCTGTTATTTATGTAATTATTTATTTATTATTTAAATGTATTTATTTAAAATTTTCAGATATTTTATTTATTAAAATAAATATTTATATTGATTTTACTTATTTTATTTCATTAAAACTCACATTACTCATCAAATTCTTACAAGGCAACATAATCTTGGTATTCTATAAATTCTCTAATAAATTCTCTAATAAATTCTCTAATAATCTATAAAATTATTTATTTTAATATTTAATTTCTTAAAATAAATATTTATATTGATTTTATTTTATTTTAATAAAACAAAACAAATTCTTAGAAGTTCAAACAATCTTGATATCTATAATTTTTTTAAATGTATTTAAATATCTTCATTCATTAAAATAAATATTTATATCGATTTTATTTAATTAAAAATCAAACATTTCTCATCAAATTCTTTGCAGGCCAAACAACCTTGGCATCTATAAAAAATTTTTTTTTTTTTTAAATATCTTTATTTATTTATATTTATTTACGTTATTTATTTCTCATCAATTCTTCGAAGACCAAATGATCTTGGTATTAACAATAATTTTACAGCTCTAAGCTCTCACTGTTTGTCAACAATTGTCTCATTTGTGTTTATTCTTAGAATTTTAAGAGAAACATCTAAGACAAGTCTTCTGAGCTATTAACGTGCAACTTTTGAGCAATAACATTCTTTACTTCCCAGGCTGATTAGATCAACAGGCACTGAGCTAGAGTTTTTTCAGGCCTCTGAAAGAGAAAAACAGAAACTAGATGATTTCGACTGTTTGCTGTAGCTGCAGAGGGACTTTCTGTCCTGCTGAATCATGTCTTCAACTGCTCAAGTTCATAAAGCGTATAAATATCAGCAGAAGTGTGGTGCAAACACACGACTCAGCACTTCCTCAAAACGACCATTTAAAGTAATATCACAAAAAAAGTCATGCAATGCCCTAGCGACCAACCAGAAAACCCTAGCAACCTAATAATGCTATATGATATCTTTGCAGGTTCCCCTGGTCGAGCAGCACTACAAGGCCGAGTTTGGGCGGTTTCTGAAGCACCAGTACTCAGTGGAGCGGGTCAGCGGAGCCTCGCAGCTCAAAATCTCCTTCCCACAAATCATGGAGCAAAACGACATCATCATCTGCACAGCACAGATTCTGGAAAACTCTTTGGCCAAAGCCAAGAACGGCGACGAGGACGGGATCAAATTATCACGTAGGTCACATTTTCCTTCTCTCCAAACATCATTTCGACACTCTCAGAGAGTCAGAGTCCAGTCGAATGGGTTCGGCTTCTGTTAGAGGTTGAAAGGAGACCAGAGCTCCTCCTCTGAGGTTTCATGTGACAGTGTTTTTCCCCCATCAGTCTTTGCTGGCAGATTCGGCTCTCCTGTGAGTCTCTCTGGCAGCGTCCGCCGCAAGGTGGGATTCCTCCTCTGTGGCATATGCTGTTTGTTGATTCCCCCCCCCGTTTTACTCTTAAACCCTTTATTATTATTTTTTCGACCACATGTCTGGCTGATCAAATTCAGTGGAGATTTGCTGTCATTTTCAGAGTCTGAGCTCCATTTCATCTCCCACTCCAGCCCTGAGGGGCCAAACAGGCAGCACCTTTAAAGTCTGATTTGTAAAACGTGGCCCCATCACCCACCGCCTCTTTGTCAGTGTGTGAAATGCAGACTAGCTCTTTTTTTTTTTTCCCCGAGACCCCTGGGAGCGCCGGAAGGCGGCACAAAAACGGCTGTAAACTGAGCCGGTGAGAGTGGACTGGAGGTTTACAGCACCCGCCTTTGATGATTAGAAACACATGCTAGAAAAAATAATGCTATTTGTATGTAAGGACTATGAACATTCATCGGGGTTTGTATATACAGTTCTGTCATGATCATCAAATTATAGCTGGCGATTCATGGTACAAATACAAATAATTGGAATTATGGAAGGAAATTTGAGCCAAAAATAATCATTCTGCCATCATTGACTCTCCCTCATGTCGTTCCGAACATGTACAAGTTTCTTCTGCAGAAAACAAAAGATGTTCTGAAGAACTTGAGTCCAAACAACATTGAGAAAAAAAAAAACATTTAAAAGCATTGCTCAAAATATCTTCTTTTTCATGTTTAATGGACAAAAAAAAGTCATATAGGTTTGAAACTGGAATATGTAAATGATGAATTTTTGATCAGAATTTTAATTTTTGAATGAACTATCCCTTTATGGCAAGACACTACAGGTGATAATAGATATCACTATACTTCCCCCTATGAATAAGTGGATTAAGACAATTCATTTGTATTACAAGTTTTCTGAAATGTTATGTTTAAATATGCAAATAAGACTTTAGCCAATTAAATATGCACTCATTTGCATACATTTTCAGAACGGAAATCTGAATATAGGATAAACATATTAGAATGAAAGATTTTTTACAGAGGGGACTCCATAAAACCACCATCAAAATGCTGTATAAAATCAGGCAAATGATATAGGAACAAACCGTTCTGTAAATACCTTTAAAATACAGATGGGAATAAAACTGTAAAGTTTGGTGTATGTAAGTGCTGCTGAAATGGAGTGAAAAACTAATTTTGTGAAATCATCCTTAAAAAATATGTATTATAATTGAAATCTACAGTTGCAATTAGATAGTGAATAACAAACAATTAAATGAGTATTTTGGATGTTTTCCTTCCACTAGTCTGAAAGAAGACAAGCTATGCATGCTACATAGCCCTAAATCTCAAAACTAACCAGTGCATGTAAAAACAATACTTTTGCCTGCAGTGTCTCGCCATTAAACTCGGATTTCACACAATAAAATCTCAAATTAAGTACATAAATAATTTAAGAATAGTTTACATATTCTATAAATGATAAAATCTCATATTAAGTAATATTGAATTAAAACTGAGAATTTTGCACTAGAAGTACATTAAGAATTTTAAATATTTAAATATTTAAATAATGTCCTATAAATTGGTACAGTACTCTAAATTGTCAATAGTTATCCTATTTTTAATTTATTGTCTATTCTCTTTATTATTAGTGTTATATTTCATTTTACTACCTTAAATTATATGTATGTCTGTACTTCCATCCACACCAAGACACCCTGTCACCAAGACGAATTCCTTGGTAATAAAGCTCTTTCTGATTCTGATTTTCAATTCAAATTTAATTCCTATACTTGCAGAGTTCACTCTGATGGTTATTGACGAATGCCATCACACGAAGAAGGGCGGTGTGTATAACCACATCATGATTCGCTACCTGAAACAGAAGCACCAGAACCAGCTATTGAAGAAGCAGGAGAAGAGTCCAGTTGCGCTTCCTCAGATTCTGGGTCTGACGGCCTCACCTGGTGTGGGAGGAGCGATGAGCCAGCAGAGAGCGGAGGAACACATTCTCCAGGTAACAACGACGCTCGCTTCCAGTAATGCTTCTTCAGCTTCTGCATTGTTCTGCTTATGTACAATGATACAGCAAAGACAAAAAATGAGTTATTTGAGTTGTGATGGTGCAGACAACACATCTTTCTATTGCACAAAAAAAGAAATTAATACTTTTATTCAGCAAGGATGAATTAAAGACATTTATAATATTACGAAGAATTTCTGATTTAAAAAATAAATAAAAATGCTTTGAACTTGTATCACAGTTTTCACAAAATTATGAAACAACAAAACTGTTTTCAACATTGATAATGATATTAGAATGATTTCTGAAGGATCATGTGACACTGAAGACTGGAGTAATGATGCTGAAAATTCAGCTTTGATCACAGGAATCAATTACTTTTTAAAATATATTCAAATAGAAAACAGTTATTTTAAATTGCAATAATATTTCCTGCTTTTACTGTATTTTTCATCAAATAAATGCAGCTTTGGTGACTTTTAAGAGACTTTGAAAAACATTTCTCATTTGCTAACAATGAACAATATATTTCGACAGCATTTATTAACCTTTGTTAATGTTAGTTAATAAAATTTTCATGTTCATGTTAGTTTACAGTGCATTAACTAATGTACTCGTGAATGTTGATATTAACATTAAGATTAATAAATGCTGTACAAGTATTGTTATAGTTAGTTCCTTTAAATTACCACAAGAACCTGGAATACTCAGATTTTTTCAGATCTGCGTGAGTCTATTGTTATGGGAATGACTTTAATGAAGTCTGGTAGTGTATGATCCTCAGTCGTTTAGTGTATGATGCCTAGCTTTTGAATTCTGTTCAGATTTTAAAAGCCGTGTAGTGTATTCCAGCCTTTTAAGGAACTGGAATCATTAAGCGGAAGGAAATTGTTAAAGTCTACAACTCCCATGCCTACCAGCAATGTGCATGTTACATGTTATGAGAACAAGGCTGAGCAAATACATATGTAAGCGAATACACATACACGCACACTATAATGCACAAATTCTACATTCTGCTTTACTTCAAGTTCTTTTCCTTCTTCTCTCGAATCAACAAACCAAATCTTCCCTAAGTGTTTTTCTGTAATCTGACTTTTGCACACACACACACACACACACACACACCCTCCTCTCCCACATCTCTTACTGTTTTCTCCACCGCAAAGCTGTTTCCAATGTTCTGCGTGGCCCCTGTGCTGGAGGCAGCCATAAACCTCCGCATGCCTTTCATGCCTCTCCAGTCAGGACCCTGCATCACATTATTACTCTGCTGGCCTGTTTTACCATGAATCTTTATGACAACAGCACCAAAGTGCCAAGAGAAACTCTTTAGCGTTGGTTTCTCAGTACTAGAAATCAAAGTTAAGAAATGGGAATTGGTTTCTTTTAAAAACGCATGATTTTTCAAGACATTGACAGTTCTTAAATACATCTGCATTTGTCCAACGAAGTGAAACAACAAACATGCAAACAACAAACCCAGCCAATGTAGTCTGATTCACAATCAAATGACTCCTGTAAACTGGATATTTTACTAAATGAGTCAAAATGTGTGATTCTAACTGATAAGTCAAGAATCAGATGACAATATATAGTCAAAACTAACGTTTTGCTATTTGTAAATGCTATTCAATCGTTCAATGTCAGTTTATGTCCACTGATGTGTGATGCTATTGATCGTTTCACAGTTTATGTGTTAGCCATCTCTAAACTGGAGCTGTGAGTTCAACAGTATGTGTCTCATTATTTTTGATTCATTACAGATCTGTGCAAACTTGGACGCCTTCACAATAAAAACAAAGACTTTCGAAGAAGAGGAGGCCAAAACACCATACAAAAGGATTGCAAGAGCAGAAGAGAGGAAGGAGGTAATTCCACTTGATGTGTGTCATCAAATAAACTTGTGTGTCATTTCTGCACCACTAGTTTGGGATGGGAGTAAGAATTAAAAGAATATAAAAAAGAATAAAATTCTTCTCAACTGCTTATTTTTTTCTTACTTAAAGGAATAGTTCACTCAAAAATGACAATTTTGTCATCATTTACTCACCCTCATGTCATTCCAAACCTGTTTAAGTTTATTTCTTATGTTGAACATAAAAGAAGATATTCTGAAGAATGCTGGTAATCAAAAAGTTGATCCCCATTGAATTTCATAGTATTTCTTTCCCTACTATGGAAGTCAATGGGGACCAACAACTGTTTGGTTCTTCAAAATTCTTCATTTGTATTCAACATAAGAAAGAAACTGAACGATGACAAAATGTTCATTTTTGGGTGAACTATCCCTTTAAGAGCAAAGGTTATGGATAGTTTATACTCCTGAAATACTGCTTTAAGTAGATGAAAATTCTGTCATCATTTACTCAATGCTCAAGTTGTTTCAAATGTGTATGAATTTCTTTGAAGAATATTTTGAAGACTGTTGGTAACCAAACAGCTGATGGCCCTGTACTATATTCCTGTATTATGGAAGTCAGTGGGGTCCATCAATTGTTTGGTTAGAATTTTCAATTTTGGGTGAACTATCCCTTTAAGAATGTTCTTATCTTTTTTCTTACAATTGTTTTTAAGACAAAACTTGAGAAGAATTCAACCTTTAAAAAATAATCTTCTTAAATATCCTCATAAATAAATTTGTAAAGTTAGGAAAACCTCTAACTTGCATTAAATCCTCAAAGGTAAGACGTTAAATGATTTGATTGGGTTGTTTCACATTAATTTTTCATCAGTGAGGCTTCTGCAAGAACAGTCAAACAAAGAAAGTCTGTCAGAAAAAGGAAAATTTTTAAGATTTTTTTTAAAGAAAATATTAGAGAACTTTAAGGTTTTGTTTTGTTGTAGTTTTTTTTTTTTTTTTTTAGAACTGCACTTCTTACAAACTTCTTGGAATTTAGGTTAAGAAATAAATTTTAAACACAAAACATTCTTAAGAATAAACAAACTAACTAACTAGGGCTGGGTGATATGGCCACTTTGCTGCCATACCATGGGTGCAGCAGGCGCAATGATATTACGCAGCGCCTGAAAATAGTCCCCAGCTAGGTAACTTCCAATAAGCCTATTTTCAGGCACTGCGTAATATCATTGTGCCTGCTGCACCCATGGTACTGCAGCAAAGTTCCTTGATTATTACGCCGGAATGTGAGTATAGTTCCTAGCCATATCGGCCTAGAAAATCGCAACTTTTCATTTTCCGTCGGTCTTAGTACATGATGTAACTACAGAAGAGTCAAGTTTTAAATAGGAAAAATATAGAAACTCTTTGGTCATTTTTGAGCGAGATGCTAACGGTCTAATCAGATTCAATGATCTATGCTAAGCTACAGCTAAAAGTGCTACCGCCAGACCCGGAGATCGGCTGAATGGATTCGAAAACGGTAAAACTCAACTGTTTAACTCTAGGGGAGTTGGAAAATGAGCCTATTTTCAAAAATAGTGGAGTGTTCCTTTAAGATTTGCACTTAAGAACATTCTTAAGTTTATCTTTAAAAATTTGTTTGAAAATAGTCTTGTGAGAAAGTCTTGAGTCTTGTTTAAAAATAGTCAATGACTTTTGCAATTATTTTTTGGTGCCACTAGTAGGGCTGTGCGATTAATCGAAATCGAATCAAAATCGCGATTTGAGACGTTGCGATTTCCTAATCGCAAAGCCTGCGATGTGGACGCGATATTACTCTGTTCCAGAGCATATGCATGACTGCCAGCCTTGAGTTGCAGTCTTACTTGCCCTGGGCAAGAGTGAGCGCACCTCCGTTCTCCCCAATCAGCACTGCTCTAACCAACTGCGTAAACACCCACCATTAAAAAAAAAAATGGAAAGCGGGACAGGAGAGAGACAGAGTGGGATTATGGCGTCTACTGGGTCAGATCAATAGTTAAGCAAATTAAAACTAAAGAAAACCGTATGCAACTTAAGCTTCGAAATGACAGACAA